TGGGTCTGAGGGAGGAGGGCTGGGCCTGGATCCCCGGGTCTGAGGGAGGAGGGCTGGGCCTGGATCCCCAGGTCTGAGGGAGGAGGGCTGGGCCTGGATCCCCAGGTCTGAGGGAGAAGGGCTGAGGCCTGGATTCCTAGGTCTGAGGTGGGGAGCCTGACAGGCATGTAAAATCGCCATACCTTTGTGAGAGCTTGGTTGGGCTCAGAGAAGTCCCCACCAGGTGTCTCCTGAAGGCGGTTAAGCTCGAGGAATCGGTTCTGTTCCTAGGGAGGGCATCACGGCTTACCACATGGTGAAGCCAAAATGGGCCATCCCCATAGCCAGGAGGCATGATCCAGGGAGATGGTGGGACACCTGAGGGAAGTGAGTACCTGGGACAGGTCTCCAGGGAAACTCACCTGGGCCAGGGCCCGACGGGTCTCCTCCTTCTCCTGGCTGAGCCCCCGGCTCTCAGCCACCATCTGCTCCCCCAGAGACTTGAGCTGCTCCTCCAAGACCTGGATCCGGCGCTGCAGGGCCACCCCCCGCCACCCTGGTTACTCAGCTGCTCCAGGAGCCCCAGCCCACCCTCCCAGAGAATCATGTCCTCCCTGTGAGTCTAGAGAAGGTGAGATCTGAATGTCCAGGGAGGGGCCTGCGAGGTTCTTTTCCCATTTGGGGTTCTAGAAGAGATCTGGGGTGGGTGGGAGGGGAGGGAGGAACTGAGATATAGGCAGAGGCCTAGGGAGATAGCAACCCCAGAGAGTCACACAGAACAGAGACAAAGGGACAGACAGAGGGGACAAACCAGAATAGGTCCAAAGAATGGCAACCAGGACAGACCTCAAAGACAGAAATGTAGAGAAAATGCAGAGGAAGAAGACAAGATAGAAACAGGAGACAGAAAGAAGGACAGTCCTCACCGAGGAAGGGAAGAGAGAGGGACAAGAAGATCCAGAAGCAGAGGTGGGAGGAGGAGACCCCCCCTCAGAACTTTCTAGTCCAGAAAGTGGGAAACTGTGTGAAGTACCCACAGAACCTGTCAGACCCTGAACGTGAAGCTTGCAGGTCGGACTAGTGACCACATCTGTTTGGACCAGGGACCGAGAGGCACAGAGCGTGGTGGCCAAGACTGCGAAGGTTCCAATCCCAGCTCTACCTTTTAGAACTAAGTGACTTTGAGAGATAATGTAAGAACTTTGACCTTCTGCTTCTTCATTTAAGATATGGAAAAAGTAGAACAGGACTTGTCTGTCGGCCTGTGTGAGGACTCAGCACCGGGTGTGACACACCAACAGTTCAGTCAGCTCAGCGACGCACGCGCAGTGGGGCAGACAAGAGGAATGGCCTCAGGGGCAGGCTTAGTCACTGACACTCACCCTGTGCTGGGCCACACTGGCCTGAAGTTCCTGGACCTTGGGGTCCGGCAGCTGGAGCCCAGGGCGGTCCCGCTCCTCCTCCTCCTGCCGGCTCTCCCGCTCCAGTTGCTGGAACTCCAGGTCCTCATAAGCGCGCTGGGCCACATCCAGCTGTTCCCTCATCTGTGAGTGGGGACATAAAAAGCCTGGAGGAAAGTTGTGGCTGCAGCCTGGATTGTTGGTCAATGAGGAAAGAAGGCTGAGGGGCTGAGGGAGGAGGCTGGAGTCTGGACCCGTGGGGCCTGGACATCAGGTCCTAGAGAGGGTCCAGAGGGCCCTCACCTCCTGTACCCCCTGCAGAAGTCGCTCCCGCTGGTCCTCTGGCTGGGAGTCCAGCTGTCCTTGGGCCTCCTGAAGTCTGTGGCGGAGACCCTCCACGCGGTCCCGCTCCTGCCTTAGTTGCCTCTGTTCCTGAAAAGCGACCAGACTCAGCTTCAGATGAGCTCAGAGAGGGAAGCAGGCCAGCAGGGGCAAGACCAGCCAGACCTCAGACCCTGCCTGGTGTCAGCTCCGCGGGGGCAGGACTCTGACTGTCTGGTTCACTCCTGTGCTGCACTCCCCAGAGGAGGCTCCAAGTCAACAGTTGTTTGGGAAATAAATGAAGGAGAAGCCAGGTGCAGTGGCACATGTTACTCAGGAGGCTGAGGCAGGAGGATCATTAGTTCGAGACCAGCCTCAGCAACTTAGTGAAATCCTAATTCAAAAACAGAAAAAAAAGAAAGAAAGAAAGAGAAAAGGGCTGGGCTGTAGCTCCATGGTAGATGCTTTCCTAGTAGTCACAAGGAACTGAGTTCCATTCTCAGTGTGGCAAAAAAGAGAGTGAAACAGAATAGGAAGGAGGGAAGGGGAAAAGAAAGAAACAAGTGAAGGAGTGAACGGGAAACATCGCCATACTGGGTAATGCTGGGTCCCTAGCCCAGGCCCTGCCCTCCAGGAGGACACACAGCCATTTACAGCTGAGGTCAGAGCAGTGAAAACAGAGATGCAGGAGCCTGGGGTAGCCAAAGGTTCCCAGATATGGGGATTTTTTTTTTTTTTTTTTGGTGCTGGGGATCGACCCCAGGGCCTGTGCACGTGAGCCAAGCACTCTACCAACTGAGCCATTGCCCAGCTCCTGGGATGGGGAATTTAAAGCCTCAGATCAGGGAGCATTTAGACCTGGGGAGACACAGGGGGCTGGAGGGGCATTTGGGACAGAGGGGCAGCATGGCACTAGTACACGGGAATTAAAAGTGCATGAACTTTGCGGGGCAAACCTCAGCCAGGGAGAAGTGGGAAGGGAGGAGGGGCCTGTGGGACACAACAGCGAGAGGGCTGCCCACGGAGCTCAGTCAGGTTCGGTCAATGGGGAGCCATGGAAGGAGTGAAGGGATGGAGCAGGGCAGGGCGTTGGAATCCCCTGGGGAGAAGGAATACAAGGGCGGAGACCAGCTCCTGCAGGAGTCCTCAAAGCAGTGAGTGAGCTGGGCCTGGGCAGGGGGGATGGGAAAGAGATGGACCAGAGACACACTGGGAAGCAGAACACGGTGACTGGTGAGCTTGGGGGTAACAGAAAGGGAGGCATGTAGGACCTGGTGACCAAGAGGCAAAGGGACAATCGAAGTGGAGAAGAGTTGCCAAGGACAGCTTTAGAAATGATGAAGAAAGAGAAGCAGACTCCTGGCTTCTCCTCAGAGGAGGGCTGAGGACCCCTGGGTCTGAGGGAGGAGGCTGGGCCTGGACCCCGGGTCCTGATGTAGGAGGCCTGGGCCTGGATTCCTAGGTCTAAGGGAGGAGGGCTGGGCCTGGACCCCTGGATCTGAAGGAGGAGGGCTGGGCCAGAACCTCTGGGCCTGAGGGAGGAGGCTGGGCTGGACCCCTGGGCCTGAGGGAGGAGGGCTGGGGCCTGGACCCCTTCAGTCTGAGGGAGGAGGGCTGGGAGCCTGGCCTCTTGGGCTGAAGAAGGAAGGAATACCTAAAAACCCTTATCCTAAGAAGGCAGGCACATAAATAGACCTCAGGCGAGAAATCAGGGTTGGAGAAATATGAGGTGTTTGATTCTAAATGAGAGCCCTGGACCCAGCTCCCCCAAATGCCAACATACAAGCTACTTGCCAAGAGAAAGACTGATAAAATTACAAAGTCACATTTTCCAGGCTATAATTATACCGAATCCAAGCAATGATTACTGATGAATGGTAAAAATCCTTAGGTAAAAGATTATTAAAAGAGATCAGAGTGACCTCATAGAGGTCGGACACCCAGAAATGATGTCCCTGATTCTCGCTCAGAAAGCACAAAGCACATCTAAATCGGATTGAGCCTCTATAGCTAAGCAACCACTTGCTCACGGCAACAGAGGGCCACTGAGGGTCACCACAGGCATGCAATCAGCCACATCATACACTTTTAATTTCTGTGCACTAGTGCCATGCTGCCCCTCTGTCCCAAATGCCCCTCCAGCCCCCTGTGTCTCCCCAGGTCTAAATGTTCCCTGATCTGAGGGATAGGATACTTGGTTTCTTCAACAGACAGCAAGGAGCAGACACCGTTGGTGAGAACCAGTGGTGCTGAAGTCACATGAGACATCACAACCAAGCTTGGCACTCAGTCTGATTCAAACAAGCCCCCTGTTAACTGGTGATTTTGAGACAATCTAGGGAAAAATGAAAATGGACTAGAAATAAGACAATAATAAAACTTATTGATTATTAAGGTAAGGGCTGGGGAGTAGCTCAGTGGCAGAGCAATTGCCTAGCATGAGTGGGCCCAGGATTCCATCCCTAGCACCATAAAAAATAAAATAAAAATTGGGGCTGGGGATGTGGCTCAAGCGGTAGTGCGCTCGCCTGGCATGTGTGCGGCCCGGGTTCGATCCTCAGCACCACATACAAAGAAAGATGTTGTGTCGGCCGAAAAATAAAACATTAAAAAAAATTCTCTCTCTCTCACTTTCTCTTTAAAAAAAATAAAAATTCCTAAGGTGAGATAATAAGATGTCATGGTGATGTTTTTAAAAAGGAGATCTTATTTGCAAATGGTACATGCTAAAGTATGTACCAGTTTATGATGCTGAGGATGTGCTTTTAAAACTAGGGAGCAGGAAGCAAATTGAGGACATGAAAGAAGAAAGGAAGATTTATGATTGTGGAAGTTGGGGAGCACGGGGCATGGAGGGAGGCTGTCTGCCTATTTGATTTTTGTGGATTTGAGATTTTTCCTAATATGATATTTAAAAAGCAAAAGCAGAGGGAGTCAAGGAAGAAGGCCCAATGAGTCAAGTCTAGAATCACAGTCAGGGAGGGAGGAGGGAAAATCTGTTCTCAGCGTCTCTGGATCCCAAGTGAAACAGGGACCACGGTGGGGTCGGGGGACAAGTCACCAGCAAAAACACCACGAATATCTCCCTCCATACACACAGGCAAGGAAGGAAACCACTGGAAAAGAAACAGTAGGTGAACAAACCTGTTCCCGCTCCTGGCTGCCCGGCTCCTCGACCACCTGCTGCCCTAGCAGCTCTCGGAGCTGCTCCTCCTCCCGCCGCAGGGCCACTCGCTCTCCAGCCAGCTCACCCCGTATCAGGGCCACCTCCACCTCCATCTGCAAGGTCCATAAGTCCAGGGCTGAGGGTTCTGATGCCTATGAGGGGCCCAGGAGCCTGAACTCCCGGATTCTGAGCACCCGGTTTGGAGGAAGGATGAAGCTGGGGGCCTAGAATCCGACCCCTGGGCGAGGAGGGCTGGGAGCTGGCCTTGCAGATGAGTTGAGGCCAGTCTTTCCAAGGGGGTCCAAGCCTCACCTGGATCCTCAGCTCCTTCTTTTGACGCTGAAGCTCCTTCAGTCTCTGCTCCAACAGGGCAACATGTGTCACTGTCTCCAGCTTCTGGGCTTGGAGCCTCCTCCGGGCTGCTCTCACCCCTTCCCCATAGGGGGTGCAGGTGGAGGGCGTGGCCGGCGTCTGTGCCCGAGGCGCGCCCTCGGGCTGAAGTTGGAGAGGGCGGGTCAAATGGAAAAGGTCTAGCCTCCTACAGTCACTATAGGTCTGGTCCCAAGCCCTCATCCCTCTCTGGGGGTCACGGTCAGCCTAACTCCACCACCATGCCCATTTGATCTGTAAGGCGGGTGGGGGAAGGGGCAGACCTGGGGACCTCTGTATCGTAGGGGCTCACAGTTCAGGAAGGGGGTACAAAGCCGATTCATGGAAGGTGATTTTTGTTGTTGTTGGTTGGTTGGTTTTTAAATCTAGGTCCCATTCTCTTTGCGCCCCATGTCCCATTTTTCTCCCCACGTCTAAGTCTCTCCCCCCCGTCTCTCAGTTGTCTTCTGTCTCTGAATCATGAGGTCTCTTTCTCCCTCGGAGTTTCTCCCTCTCTCCAGGTTTCTGCGCCCGTATTTCTCTTTTTCTGAGTAATTTCACCCTTAGTTTCCGGGTTGCCCTCTGGGTCTCTAACCATCGCTCTGAATCTCTGGGACTCTTTCTCTCTCTTCGCCTCCCTCCTTCATCTCTCAGTCTCTTCTTGGGGTCTTTGTCTCAAGGGTCTCTGTGTCTCTCTCTGGTTTCTGTCTCTCAGTAGGTCTGGGGCTTTCTAGGTCCAAGTCCAGGTTTGTCTCTCCCTATCTCTGGGTCTCTCTCCCAGTGCCTGTATCTGTGTCTGGTCACCCGTTTGGGTCAGTCTCTATTGGGTCTGCTCGTGGATCTATCTGGTGCTGTCTGTTTCTCTGTCGTCTTTCCCCATCTCTGTGTTTTTCCCTGTCTCCAGGTCTCTGTCCCTCGGGTTTCTCTCCACCGGCCTGTGTCCGGTCACCTGTTTGGATCTCCCAGTGGCTGCCGCCCTAAGGGCCCTCACCTCCTCCCGGCTGCTCTCGGTGCTGCTGCCTTCTCCCACTTCTTCCTCTTCCTCAGTCTGCTGCTCAACTCCTTGGCCGCTAGGAAGCTCCGCCGGGACCCCGGGCGCCTCCTGTTCGCGGGGCTCATCGGGGTGATCATGGGGCTGGGAGGCCCCTTGGGGCTGAACCTCTGCGTCGCACTCGGGGACCGGCGGGGACCCGGACCTCTCCTCCGGGCTACTGGGAGTCCCCATGGCCGCTTCGGACTCCTGCGGGGTGGGCGTGGTCCTGGCTCCGGGGCGTGGCCTGGAAGCGTGGGGCGTGGCCTAGGGTCTTCGGCACCGCACCCGACGGCCTGGCCTCGCGGAGTGCTCGGGGAGGCTGGGCCTAGGAGTTCAAAGGATGGGCCTGAGCACTCCGAGGGCGTGGTCTGAGCTTCCAGGGGCGGGGGAAGAAGTTGGGACGAGGTTCGAGGGCTCGGGAGGCGGCACCCCGCTGTAGGCGGGGCCGGAATTTGAGTCCGGGGTCCTGGCACGCCCCCTGCCGGACTCTGCGACCCAGAGCCTCCGTGCCACCCAGGTGTCGGGCCTTGGACTTGCCCAGTGGCCCCCGACAATCTCTTGGGCCACTTTAACGCGACCCCTTCTCCTCCCTTCGTACTCAACGCCCCTTCCTCCCCGAGTCCGGCAGTCCTGACCCCACTGTGTAAGGGACCAGCACCCATGTCGCGTCACCCAGGGATTCAGAGACCGGGCTCCCTCGGGACGAGGCTGGAGCCCAAGCCCTCCTTTTCTCCCAGGAACTAGGCTCCCGAACTCCGGCTCCCGCCTCCCGCGCGGGCCCCACGAGCTGAGTCCCCTCCTTCCCGCAGCCCCGGCCCCTCACCAGCTCGCTCCGCTCCGCGCTCCCGGCACTGCAGCTTCTGCCACAGAGACAGGTGGCTGTGAAGAGGAGGAGAGGCCGCCCGTCCCCCTCCCCAGCAGCCCGGAAGTGGAGGGGGGGACAACAGGTCCAACAGCTCTGGAGAGAGGAGGGAGCGACCAGCTCGCCCCGCCCGCGGCATCAGGCCTTCCGGGCCCCACCCTCGGAGAACCCAGCATCGCGACCTCCCACTCCGCCTCCAGCGCTCCCATTCCTGTCCCCTGAAGGGCTGCCTGGCCACCTTTGTATACCAGCCTCCCTACTGCCCACATTCTAAGAGTTCTCAAAGGGAGATAGGAATGAAGATGGAGACTCTCCCCTCTAATGAGCCCTTTAGAAGGGCCCCAACCGGTTTAGGGAGCTGGACAAGGGGAGAGGGGTACTTTGAGTCAGATACCCGCCCAGAAATACAGGGAAGTGTGCCCCCGCCCCACACACACTTTGCTATGGGGCGGAGGACAGAGGTTAAAGGTCTCATCCAGACCTTTTCCTCTCTGGGCAAAAACAGAAAATAATTGGTACATGAAACCAGGTTATTAGATGTCAAGAGCTGTGCTAAACACTTTACACACGCTAATTTGGTTTCACCCTCAAAGCAGCCCAGCTCGAAGGAGGGATTACTATTTCCATTATATACTGAGGGGAAACTGAGGCTGGGGGGAGAGAAATGCATCCAAGGTCTACACATCAGCTTCATTCTTTCAACATCCATGTTCTTAACCATTATGTAAATTGTCACTCCAAGTCAGGAAGTACCTAAGAGATCATTCCAAATGATAGCAACAATAATAGCACTCCTGGGGAGTTGGCCATTCAGGCAGTGTGCCAAGCACTCATATTTATGGACTTATCAGATCTCCATGACACCCTATTATTATTATTATTTCCATTTTACAGATCAGGCAATTGAGGGCTGTAGAGGGAAAGTACCTAACTCTAGGACTCAGGACCCAACCGTGTTCTGATCCAAGGCCATGAGAACACCTGCCAGATATGTTGGCTTCTAATCTTGTGAGTTAGAAATCTCCCGGGACCTGCATGGTGCCCAGCTCCCGCAGCCTTTCCAAGGGACTAGAACCAACTCCAAGCACATCCACTCAAAACCCAGCTGGTTCCCCCCAGAAAAGAGGTAGACGTCAGATTCATGATGAAAGGAAAAAAAATACTTTTTATTTAAGAAGTTCGAGGGGCTGATGGGGGTAGGGTGGGAGGGGACAGAGGTCTAGTGGTGACCCCTCTCCCCTCGCTCCACTGAGTGCATTCTTGACGGACATAAGCACCTGACAGAAACAGGTTAGGAAGGCGGCGTCTGGACCCCGCAGCGCATGTTGGCTGGAACAGCAATGTCTGAAAAGAAACTGGATGAAACCAAGGGGCGAGGCAGAAGCCCATGTCCCTCCAAGGACCCAGGTACACTGAGCCCTTCTTAGGGAACTAGAGTTCTGGCCCTAGCCCTCCTCCCTCAGACCCAGGAGTCCACACCCCAATCCTCCTCCCACCAGGACCCAGGGTGCTCACCTATCTGCTGTGGTTTAGGCAAGTTCAGATTGTCCATGACCTTAACAAACTCCTCGCAACTGAGAGTGAGCCGAGGGTTCAGAGTCCGCTCCTCCTCCACGGTGGACACTGTGTGTCCTAGTGACCAAGGTGGGGGGTAGGGAGAGGGAAGTCAACTGGTCCAGCACTTTGGGCCACTAGGAACTACAATTCCCAGGAGGTCTTTGGGTGCCTCTCTAGCCAGGCACTAATGGGCTCTTCCCAAAATATTCTGAGATTGCTTTCCCTCCCGATTCGCATTATGGGAAATGTAGTTTCCCAACAGTCCTCTGCACTCCACAAGGAAGTCCCAGGAAAACCCACGCCCTGCAGAATTCTAGAAGTTGTCTAGTTTCTATATCCACACACGGCACACCCAAGCACTTAGTCTTTTTTGGCCAGAGGAATTTATGGAATGTGTGTAGTCTCTGTGCCATACAAAGAATACAGAAGCTGGCTATCCCCTCAAAAGTTAGGTAAGCCCCCACCCCCTCCAGCGAGCCCTCACCATGGTAATCATGAGCAGGGTAGACCAGACAGTTGCCTGGAAGTGTGAAGATCTTTTTGTGGACTGAGTGGTACAAGGTCTTAGCACAGCCTGGGGAAGGAAAGGTCAGAGGTCAGTGGGTGAGCAGGACAGGAGAAGCCCTAAAATACCTTCCCTCAGGAAAAGGGTGGGAGGATAATCAGAGTAGCTAAGCCATCGCCCTCATCTCCTGCCCAAACCCCTTTGTCTAGGTAGAGGCAGAGGGAAGGACATACATGAAGAAAAATGAATGGTGAGAAATTTGCCTTTATAATGTGGGATTGTAAGGGTGGGAAGAGAGATTCTGAAGCCCCCCAGGAAATGTGTCCTTAATCTGGGGACACTGAGGAAGGATTCTGGGCAAAGAAGTTGGACTAGAAGGTAATAAACCAAAGACATGAGGCCAAGCAGCATATGGAACAGTGGTTCCAACAGGAAGCTGAGCCTCGACTGGGACAGAGGCAAACCTCTCTGGAACATTCTTTTGCCTTCCATTTCAACCTAAATTCTCCCATTTTTATGTTGTGTTGGGAATGGATAAGAAGCAAATTAGGAGTCCGAGAGAGATGACCACAGACTGAAATGAAGACATAGAGAGGGAGAGGGGGCCGGGACCTGGCTTCTCGTTGCCAGTGTGTGACAGCTGCCGCCATTTCTCTCACGTGGTCTTGCCTCTGCCCACAAGACAGACTACTCCTCCAATCTAGTGTCAAGCCACATTCGTTCACATGCTCAACGGGCAGCCAGATCCTGAGATCCAAAACTAAACTGTCTTCCCGCAGGGAAACCCCCGAATCAAACCATCCTCTGCAGCTACACCCCGAAGCTGCAGAACCTTCTCACAGCTGAACCAGGGACCAAACAACCTCCTAGTGGCCTCTGAGCAGCTGATCTCCTGAGCACAACTCCACCCCACCACACCCACCAGCAGCTAAGGCCCTTGATGTGGTTTTCGAACACCTTCGTAAATTCTTGAATCTTCTTATTGAAACGTGACACTTCATTTCCCTCCCCTTGATCTAAGGGTCTGGATTACATATTTTGCTCCTAATAAATAGAATATTGCAAAAATTACAGAGTGTAACTTCTGAGGCAAGATCAAAGAAAAAATTAGGGCTTCTCTTTCTCTCTGGTCATTTTTTTTCTGGGAGGATCTGGCTGCCATGTCATAAGGACACTCATGCAGCCCTCTGGAGCAGTCCACCAGGTGAGGAAGGGAGGCCTCTGCCAACAAGCACAGGAACTGGCAGCCATGGGAGGAAGCCACCCCAGAAGTGGGTCCCCAGACCCATCCAGCCTTCTGATGAGTACAGCCCACACCCTAAACTGCTCCTGGACTCTTGACTCTCAGAAACTTTGTGGGACAGTGAATGTTAATACTACTACTACTACTATTATTATTATTATTTTTATTATTATTTTATACTGGGGATTGAACCCAGGGGTACTTTTCCACTCTATTATATCTCCAGCTTTTATTAAAATTTTTTAAATTTTTTTATTTTGAGACAGGGTCATGCTAAATTGCCAAGGCAGACCTTGAACTTGCAATCCTCCTGTCTCAGCCTTCAGAGTGGCTAAGATTATAGAAATGTGCTACTATGCCTGTCTAATCATTGTTACATTTTGCAGTAATTTGTTTCACAGCAATAGATAACTAATGCACCCCTGGAATTAATGGTCCTCCAATAGCTAATGCCCTAAGTGGATACTCTGGCAACTAAATTCTGAATGTAAAACTGGCCGCCTAAAAATCTAAGGTCCATTCATTCATTCCTGTAGCTAATGCATAAAACCCTGGCAAATATATAACCATATTTGAATCTTGGGCTGGATAAGGAGCGGGTCACCTTGCTGGAAGTCTGTCCGCCCACATCCACGGATCAGCAGGGCATCTCCAGTGAAGGCCATGCTGAGGTCGTTCAGGACAAAGGTGACACAGCCTGGGGTGTGGCCAGGGCTGGCCCGGGTCTCCAAGGCCTGGCAGGGACAGGGTGTACAGAGACAGTCACCAACAAGCTGGCCCCAGAAGCCCACCTGGAGCCCCACCAGAGTCATATTAGACGAAGGAAGAGATTGTAAGTCTAAAATGCTTAAAATCTGTTTAAAGTTTCTGAATGAAAATAACACCACAAAGCACAGAAAAACAAAAACTTAAAAGGAAAGCACATTTTGAATGTATTCACCATAGTGGTCAATATTTTCAATATATAAACAGCTGACAAGACAGTAGGAAAAAGATTAGCACACTACTATAAAAATGAAATACTAAACAGCCATTAAAAGTGCTGCTGCTAAAACAAAACTTAATGATGTTTCACATATACTTAACGACACAAAAAAAAGACATTTGGGGGCTGGGGCTATAGCTCAGTGGCAGAGTGCTTGCCTCACATGTGTGAGGCACTGGGTTCAATCCTCAGCACCACATAAAAATAAAATAAAAAAAAAATAAAGGCATGTTACCCATCTATAACTACAAAAAAATTAAAAAAAAAAAAAAGACATTTGGTGTCCAGTAAGAGCAAAGAAACAGGTTACAAAGCAACTTGTACAGTGTGATATTTGCAAAAATTTATTCATTAACTCGAAATATGTATTTTATTCTTTGGGCTCTGTATTAAACTGTGAATATGCAATTTTACATAGATAAAATCCTGATATGGGAAAGATTCTTTTAAGCATGACTGAAATTTTAGAGGCCACAGTAAAACAAGGATAGATGTGACCACACAGTTCAACTTTTTTTTTTCTTTTTTAGTACTGGGGATTGGGCCCAGGAATACTCCATGACTAAGCTACATCCCTACCCCTTTGAAATTTTTTTTTTCCCCTTGAGATAAGGTCTTGCTAAGTTTCCCAGGTTGACCTTGAATTTACAGCCCTCCTTCCTCAGCCTCCCAAGTTGCTCAGATTAGAAGCATGTGCCACCATGTCCAGGCAACATGATGATTTAAAATAAAAAATCAAGCGGGACATGGTGGCACATGCCTGTAATCCCAGTGGCTCAAAAGGCTGAGACAGAGAATTTTGAGTTCAAAGCCAGCCACTCGAAAGCGAGGCGCTAAGCAACTCAATGAGACCCTGTTTCTCTAAATAAAATACAAAATAGGGCTGGGGATGTGGCTCAGTGGTTGAGTGCTCCTGAGTTCAATCCCCAGTACCAGCCCCCCTCCCCCTGCCCCCCAAAAATCAGAGTTAAAGGACATAAAAAAAAACCCTCAGAGTCAATATTGGCAATGTATACAACAAAGTACTTTAAGGTGAAAAAAGCCACAATATATGAATAGCTCCCAAGCATCAATAAGAATTTCTAAAAGAACTGGGTTTGGTGGCACACACCTTTGACCTCAGTGGCTCAGGAGGCTGAGGCAGGAGGATCACAATTTCAAAGGCAGCCTCAGCAACTTAGCAAGGTCCTGAGAAACTTAGAGAGCTCCTGTCTCAAAATGAAAAATTTTAAAAAGGGCTGAGGATGTGGCTCTGTGATAAAGCACACCTGGGTTCAACCCTCAATACCAAAAAAACCAAACGAATGAACAACAGCAGCAAAGAACTTAGAAAGGAAAAGAACAGGCAGTTCATGGAAGATGAAATAAATAGTAAAAGATCACCAAAAAAGACGCTCAACCTCCTCAAAAGGAAGAAATGGAGAAAGGAAAGGATTAAAATTTTAAAAACACTTATTTTCACTGACCAGAGTGACAACTATCAGAATTGCTTAAGGTGTCTGGGATGAGCCTTTTTAGTTCCTGGGGTGTGGGTACAAATCAGTGTAGTCATTTTGGAGGGAAATGAGCAGTATTTATTAACATCTCAAATATGTACCCTTTATGACATCTCAAGCCACTTCTGGGACTCTGCCATTAAGAACCCCCGACACATACATACAAAATGCCCACGTCGGGAGTCCTGTGGCCTCAATCTCCACACTCAGCTCCAGGGAAGCCAGGGTCATAGAACAAATATTACTCTAATGACCTAACATCATGATTCAATTAGTCCCCACTTATAAAATTAGTCCCCACACCCCCATCCCTCCTCCCTCTCAGTAGAGCTCCACCTCCCAAATCTCAGCCTCATCCAGGTCAGTCATCTGCTGACATCCAAGGACCCCACATGCGGACTCTGTGGCCCCCCACCAACTCACTCCACCTCTCCTTACTCCAGTTGGGTTCTGGGTGTCAATGTCCCTGGCCAACACTTTCCTAGTCTCTCTGGCAGCTTGGGTAGCCCCTGACTATTGTCTGATCAATGAGATCTCAGTAAGACTCCTGAGATGTCTAGGGAGGAACAGGCATTGCTTTTTTTTTCCTCCTGCCTCTGGCTCTAAATTCAAGGTGTGATGGCTGCAGCTGCAGCAGCTACCTTGCAACAAAAGGCACAACCCTGAGAATCCCACCAACCTAGTGCTGCTGAACTACCTTCTTCCAGATCTCCTATTGTAGGAGAAAATTAAACTCCCGCTTAGTTAAGACATGTGGTCGCTTTGTGTTTGATTTGGAGACACAACAGGAGGCTGCAGTGAGGTGAGCAGGAGTGGAGAGCTGGGAAGGATGCTGGAGGTGACGGCTCAGTCAGACCCAGCAAAGTGAGAATGAGGCTACGGGAGGGGACCAGCCAGAGAGCGACTGTATCAATCGCATGTTCTCTTAAACCAGTCACAGGTTCACTTCAGCACAGTGGTGGGAAAACGGTCTTTTTAATACAGTTCTGAGCCAATCAATGTCTCTTTAGAAAGCAAAGTTGATATTGACCCCTACCTCACACCACACACAAAAATAAATAGTCAGTGGACTACAGATCTAAATATGAAAGATCAAACAACAGACTTTAGAGAAAAACATCAAATGAGTTTGTCATCTTGGAGCAGGCAAAGGAGTCTTTAGCACATAAAATATTCACTATGAGCTGGGCACAGTGACACATGCCTGTAATGCCAGTGGCTCAGGAGGCTGAGGCAGGAGGATCAAAGCCGGCCTCAGCAAAAGGCAATAAGCAACTCAGTGAGACCCTGTCTGTAAATAAAATACAAAATAGGGTTGGGGATATGGCTCAGTGGTCAAGTGCCCTTGAGTTCAACCCTTGGTTACTGCAGCCCCCTCCTCCCCAGCAAAAAAAAAAAAAAAAACTGCATTCATTACAGAGCCTGAATGGATATGTTGAACTACAATAAAATTAAAATGTCTTTTTGTTTAAATGCACCATGAAGACAGTAGGAGGGGGAGAAGCTATCTACAAACAAATATTCAACAAAGTTATTGGATCTATAATATATAAAGATAACCTTCAAATCAATAAGGTATACTATCTAATAGAAAAACATAGTAAAGAATTGAAAAAGAAATTGCAAAATTGGACATCCAAATGGTAGGAACACATGAAAAGGTGCTCCACTTCATCTGTCATCAGGGAAATAAAAGTGAAACCACCACAGGATATCACCACACCACACCAGAAAGGCTGCGGTGAAAAAGATCGATGTGGAAAAATGGAAACTGGTACATCAGGGTGGGAAACATGAAAAACCTACACGTCCCTGGGCTCACCTCTTGGCACACGGTTGTTCCTATGTGTCTTGTTTGCAGCAGGACTATTTACAATGCCCAAAACTGAGAACCAACTGCGAGCCCATCGACAAGAATGGATAGATAAGTTGGGGTGTATGCACACACTCGAAGGAGCAAACTGACGCCATAGGACAACATGGTCCCAGGCCACGTCTAGCAGAAGTGGGCGAGACACAGAGAGGGTCCGATCCAGTGGAGTGGAAGGGAGCAGGAGGGCTGGCGTGGAGAGCGGGGGAGAAGCGGGAGATGGCCCGGAGCCTGTGGCACAGAGAACAAACATTGCTTTGCGAAGCTGCGGCTCAGTTCTGAACCAAGGTGTAAAATATTTGCCTCCTGGAGAGGGCACAGGGACGGGGGTGAAAAGCAGTCCCAGACTGCTGGAGGTTTCCAGAGAAAAAGCAAGAGCCGATGAGGAGAGGGGGTGGGTAGCAGAGTGGCAGAGCACTTGCCCATCAGGGGTGAGGCCCGGTTCCATTCCCAGCACCACAGCAAAGACAGAGGTGGAGGGGCAGAGAGAGAGGGGTGCAGAGAGAAGGGGACGAGGATAAAGACACACACACATGGGCCTGGGTGGCAGGGACGTGCTAGGAGGGTGTCAGGAGACCAGGCTCTGGGTCCTGCACATGAAAGCCTTCTCATTGGCATCAGCCTCGGAGGCCAACCTGCCTCCTCTTCCTTCTTGCTGGGCTCTCTTACCTGGTTGCTAAATTCCCAAGCAGAATAAGCCCAGTGTTACAGTCTGGATCTGGAATGTCCCCCAAAGACTCATGTGTTAAATAAAGGCTTGGTCTCCAGCTCAGGGGCTGCTAAAAATTGGAGGAACTTTTAGTAGGTGGGGCCTAGAGGGAGGAGGTTAGGTCATTGGGGGCGTGGCCTTGAAGAGGATAGGCCTGGCCCCGCTGGCCACTACTGGCCACTACGATGTGCAGCCTCACCACAGGGCCACCAGATCACAAACTGGAACCTATAAAACTATGAGTCAAAATAAACTTTTCCTCCTTACGTTTATCTTAAGTATGTTGTCACAGTGAAGGAAAGCTGACTTACATGCCCAGAGAAATCATATGAAGGCAAACTGCAATTAAACTTCTAAAAGAAAAAAAAAAAACAAAAAATAATCTTGAAACCAGGTCATACACAGGGCAGCTGATTTCCAGAGTTAATACCTGCACAAGTGGCTCTTGGTATCAAAATCAGGCTGGTTTCATAAAAGAAACTGGGAAGGTTTTCTTCTTTCTTTATGCACTGAAATGTTTTAATTACTTCTGGAGTTATTGATGTGGTGGGTTCACTTATGGACCTGGTGATTTCTTTTCATTTTCTCTCCTTATTTACATTTTTTAAAAGGTACTCCAGAGAAAACATCCCTACAATCAGATGACAAGCATTTCTAACACACCCAAGTTTCCT